CACTCCCTTGAAGGCCACACTCAATGAGAGATGTGCCAGTTAGTTTGAAAAATCTGCCTCTAGTGGAGAATGTGTGGAGGGGTGCTCTAAAAGTTGTATCATGACTGGATCCTTTCCTCTACCTTTTTCCTCTTCTGAAATCCTGGTGGGATCAGAAGTCTTGCCCAGGACTCAAGTGCCCTTAACATCAAGTTTGCACGCATGCCCCTCAGGGCCTTAATCATACTTTCCACAGGTCCTGCTCCTTTCCCCCACTTGGGCTCTTATCCCTTCTTACTCCACTAACCCGTGCATCCTGAGCCTGTTGCTGCTCTTCCTCCAAAGTAATATTTGCCAAGCACCATCTTCTACTTTTCCCATTCCAATTCCATCCCCTGACCTTCAGGTCTTCTTTAAATATACCATCTCCTTGCTTCCCTTCCAGCTTTGCTTACTCAAATACAGATCTAGCAGCACAAGACATCTTGAAACTTTCTGATCATCTAAGACACCATGCCTCCAGGCACTGGCTCTAGGGGGCTGAGAAGCTTCAAAAGCAACTCAGTGTCAATGGACTTCAGTTCCTAGTGAGCTCTCAGCACTGTTTGCTATGTGCCATTTTAAAAAAATTATTAATTTTAATGAAAGTTTACAGAGACTGAGGATTTCCATTCATTCATTGTTGTACTTTTCTTCTTGCCCACCCCTTCCTCCCCCTAATTCGCTCTTCTCTTTGAAAAGTAAAAGGAAAATTCCTTCATTGGTATACAATCCCTCCTCCCAAGTCCACTCTACATTCAGCCTTCGTTCTGGACTCCTGTCATGACAAAAATACTTAATCAAATATCCCTTTTAAACAGTTTTCTCCCTCATCTGTTTCAATGCAGTATACATTATTGAACTCATCTTTCTCAGTCTCCCCCCAACACCAAGGTCAGTCCTGTTTTACAACAGTGGCACCATGCAGTATTTGTACTTTTGTGACTGAGATATTTCACTCAGCATAATGTCCTCCAAGATCACCCATTTTGAATAATATTGCATGAGTTCCTTGTTTTTCAATGCAGGGTAGTATTCCATTGTGTGAATACACCACAGCTTCTCTATCCATTCATGTGTTGATGGGCACTTAGGTTGTTGGCAACTTGTTGCTATTGTGAACAAAGCCATGATAAACATGGGTGTGCATATATCTGCTTGGGTGTCAGTTATGGTCTCTTTGGGGTATATTCGCAGTAGTGGAACTTCTGGGTCAAATTGTATCTCTATTTGCAACTTTTTTGAGAAAGTGCCATGCCACCTTCCACAGTGGTTGCATCATTTTTACACTTTCACCAACAGTGAATAAGGGTTCCATTTTCCCCACAACCTCGCCAGCATTTGTTGCTTGCTGTTCTGTTAAATTTTGCTATTTTGACTGGGGTGAGATGGTATCTCATAGTTGTTTTGATTTGCATCTCTCTTAGAGCTAGGGATTTTGAACATTTCTTCATGTGCTTGTTGGCCATCTGAATGTCTTCTTTGGTGAAGTGTCTGTTCATATCCTGTGTCCATTTTTCAATTGGATTATTTACCTTTATCTTGTGGTCCTCAAGTATTTTATAAATTCTAGATATAAGTCCCTTATCTGACATGTCATTGTTATTGTTGTTGCTATGTGCCATCGAGTCCCTTGCGACTCATAGCAACCCTATGTACAACAGCCCTATACTCTGCTCTGTCCTGTGCCAATCGTACCGTCTCCAACATACCCATCCCGATTATTCCAGTCACTGAATCAATCCACCTCATAGGGGACCTTCCCCTTCTGCGCTCTCCCTCCACCCTACCAAGCATGATGTCCCTCTCCAAGGATCTGTCCCTCCTTGCAACATGTCCAAAGTATGTTAGACGGAGCCTTAGAATCCTTGCCTCCAAGGAGCAGCCCGGTTTGACCCTTTCCAGTATGAATCTCTTTGTTTTCCTAGCAGTCCATGGTACTCTCAATTCTCTTCTCCAGCACCACAGCTCAAAGGCGTCAATTCTCCTTCTATCCTCCTTAGTCATTGTCCAACTCTCTGATGCATAACAAGTGATAGCAAAGACCATGGCCTGTATCAGGCACACCTTAGTCTCCAGAGTAACACCACTGCTCTTCAGTACTTTGGAGAGGTCCCTAACAGCGGACTTTCCCATGGCAATGCGCCTTTTAATTTCCTGGCTACTGGTGCCAAGAGTGTTGACTGTGGAGCCAAGCAAACTGAAGCTGTGTACAATCTCAATCTCTTCACCATCCATCCTGATGCTGTCAGTTGGCCCAGTGGTGAGAATCTTTGTCTTCTTGACATTGAGCCTCAATCCATAATGGAGGCTGCAGTCCTTGACCCTCTGCAGCAAGCACCTCAGGTCCTCCTCAGTTTCAGCAAGCAGGGTTGTATCATCTGCATATCACAGATTGTTGCTAGATCTTCCACCAAATACTTTTTCCTACTCTGTGGCTTCCCTTTTTACCATGTTGGAGAAGTTTTTGGATGTGCATAGGGCTTTGATTCTTAGAAGGTCCCATTCATTTCTCCTGGTTGTAGAGTATGTGCTATTTTAGAGGCAATTCTCTATTCTCAGTCACTGCAACTCTATAGGATAGAAGAGGGTCCATAGAGGTTCTAAGACTGTAAAGCTTAGTGAAAGCTGACTGTCTCCAATTACTCATCAACAATATCTGTTATGCAGATGACACAACCCTGCTTGCTCAAACTGAAGAGGACCTGAAGCGCTTGCTGCCGAAGGTCAAGGACTGCAGCCTTCAACATAGACTGAAGTTCAACATCAAGAAAAAAAAGATTCTCACTACTGAACCAATTGATTGGTAGCATCATAATAGATGGTGAAGAGATGGAGATTGTTAACAGCTTTAGTTTGCTTGGCACAACAATCAATACCCTTGGTACCAGCAGCAAGGAAATGAAAAGATTAATTGCATTGGGAAAGTCTGCTGTTAGAGACCTCTCCAAAGTACTGAAAAGCTACGATGTCAGTCTAGAGACTAAGGTGTGCCTGATACAGGCCATGGTCTTTGCAAGCACTTGCTATACATCAGAAAGCTGGACCATGACTAGGGATGATAGAAGAATTGACACCTTTGAGCTGTGATGCTGGAGAAGAGCATTGAATATACCATGGATTGCTAGGAGAACAAACAGGTTGGCCCTAGAAAGGAAGGCAAGGATTCTGAAACTTCGTCTGAAATACTTTAGACATGTTGCAAGGCAGGACCAGTCCTTGGAGATGGATGTCATGATTGGAAGGGTGGAGAGACAGTGCAAGAGAGGAAGACCCTTGATAAAATGTAGTGATTCAGTAACTGGGGTAATGGGGGTAGGTATGTCAGAGACAGTGAGATTGGCACAGGATGGAGCAGGATTTAGCACTGTTGTACATAGGGTCACAGGCGACTCGATGGCACATAACAACAGTGCCATGAATTAGCAGTGATCTCTTTACTACTGGGATAGTCATCATCAGCTTCTTTAAAACTGGCTAGACTTGAGAACAAATTCAGAAAACTAATTTTTATCATTTTGTTCCTCTAGAACTACAGAACTACTCTTGGTATTCTGGGTTTCTTAAAGGAGCAAAATAATACACACACGTTTTGTTGTTGTGTACTAAAGAGTCAGAACCGACCCAGAGCTGAGCCTCTGGCAATGTTTTCAGAGGCATGGAGGAGATTGGCTCACAGAGCAGCTGGTGGTCTCAATTTGTGTCTTCGGAATAGCAGGGAATAGCTTTTTGCCACTGGGCCACCAGAGCTATATATACTAAACCAAGCCCACTGCCATTGAGTCTGACTCACACCTTTCTTAATAGTTTTCCAAGGCTGTAACTCTTTACAGGAAGTAGGAGACTTTATCTTTCTTCCATGGAGCCACTGATGGACTCAAACCACTGGAAACATACTACCTTCGTTATCAGCAGCATAAAATTAGCAGCTAGGGACTAAGTTCCTAAAGTTCCTAGTAAATATATATCAATTCCACTCAAATGAATGCCGCTGAGTCAGAACTAACTCATAGTTGACCCTCCAGCAAGTTTTCAGAGGCTGTAAATCGCTTGGGAAGACATTGCACGTCTTTCTCCTGCACACCGGTTGGTGGACTGGAACCTCCAACTCCTTCCATGCGTTCTACCGCCTCTGAAAACCCACTGAAGGGGCAGCTATCATTCCGTTCTGACTGGTTGGGACATAACACCACCACCAGACATAAGCATATCATTCCCTGCTCTCCCACTAACCTGTTAGATCGAAGAGTTGTTTACACAAGAGCCCTTCTTTCTGGAGTCTTTCTCGCCGATGAACCCTACCAACCACCACTGGGGTGTGGCCGCACTTCCAAGAAGCCCTTTTCACACGCAGCGACCACTCCCCCACCCTCCACCCCGCAATGACAAGTAGTTGGTAGGCCCCGGGCCTCTACTTCCACTTCCCTCAAAGCCATTACACTCAGGGTCCCATGCGCCTTGGCTCTGCACTCCCCATGCCATCGCCCCAGGCTCTCCTGTCCACCTCCAGGCCACTTGGCTACTGTGAGTCTGAACCTGCGGCCCCGAGGGTGGTTCCTGCAGAGCCTCACAGTCGTAAGGCGCGCAAGCTGGGTCCGCCTGCTGCTCAGATCTCGGGTTCTCTGTCCACCCCCTCCCGGGTCTTCAGTCCAAGTGCCTCTTTGCTGGTTTCAGTATGCAGGCAGGCCGAGCTGTGCCTGAGTCCCTATCCCACAGTATGCAAAGGGCAGGTCCGAGGGAGGAGACCTCCAGGCCAGATCAATTACGCAGCTTCACACGTTTGCTTCCCGCAGTGCCCGAAACCGAGACCTCTAGTGCCCGGTAAAGACTTAGGCTCCGCCCACCGTCTTGCTGCGATTGGCCACGTATATTCGTTTCTCTGCATACCGATTGGCTGCATCTTTAATCAGTCAGGCGGCGGCGGCGGCGGCGGCGGCGGCGGCGGCGGCGGCGGCGGCGGCGAGCAGCGCCCCGGTACCCCCTCACACCCACTGCGGCGGCGGGGCGTAGCGGGGCGGGGCGGTCGGCAAAGCCTGGAGGCAGCGGATCCGGGAGCTGCCAGTACGCAGCGCCGCCAATCCGTCCGCCTGCTCTCTCCCCTTGGTGTGGCGGCGGGGAGAAGAGGTGAGCCTGGAGTGTGCCGGGTAGGCTAGGCCCGGCAGAGGTTGCGTGGTTCGGGCCCAATGGAGGGTAAAGGCGGCGGGAGGGCGCGATGCTGGCGGTGGGCGCGGGGCTGCTGGCCTGGGGCTGCGGGGTGGGCCGGGGCCTGGGGCGCGCTGGCAGCGCAGGCCACCGCCCCTGCTCTCGAAGCTGCTGCAGTCGCCCCCTCCCTCCTGGCTGTCAGCTGCTGGGGTGTGGGCTCTTTCTAGGGCCTAGCCCCAACAGACCTGTCCAGGGAGTGAAGAGGTCTAGGGGACAAAAGTGGGGTCTGTTGGCGCCACCACTTCCACTTGTGGGGCACCCAGCTGCACACACGGATGCTCAGGCGCTAGGGGTCTGGACACCCCACGCCACCTTCTCGTTCCTTCTCCCCGCCCCCTCTTCGGCCCCGACCTTGTTCAAGTCACTGACTCTTGCCATTCCTCGATTTTCCCTTTGGGAAAAAACCTGCTCTTTTGGACAGGGTGGTTGTCAGGTTGTATGACAAGTGTGTGGAAGCGCCTGGGCAATAGCAGTAGCCTAGTACTCATTTGTGGGAAATCCGGCAGGATACTGCCCTTTTCTTCTCTCCCAGCCCCCACACCTTGCACTCCTTCACTGCCTTGTCACTGCACATTCAGTGCCCTTGGCAGCGCCTGAGCGACCCTGCCCTCCCACCCATAATAACACTGTGCTCCAACCCAACTCCCTTTTCACCCATCTTGAACGTGCTATATACCTCAAGATTTTTATAATTGCTATTTATTTTGCTTGAAGTTATCTCTTGGATCTTTACTTGGTGTTAATTTCTGGGACATCTTTGGACAGATGTGTTCTATGAGGCCTTCCTTGACCACCCTCTTTCTTCCCTTATTCTTTTTATCCTCTTACCTTGATTTTGTTCCTAGCTGCATATTCTGTCTTGAAACTGGGGCTTTGGTTCAATTTGACCCCCTTCTGATATTTTACTTTTCCATCCTATTTATTCTGAATGAGCACCTACAGGGTTTCCCCCCCCCATGTCATTATTTCCTGGGAATTTTTATATTAACTCTCATATCTCTTAAGTGAATCAACTTGAGGATCCTGTTAAGCTGTAGATTCTGATTTAAAGTATCTGAAGTGAAAATGTAAATTCTCATCAGGGAGTAGAACCTAAATATACTGGTTGGAAATCTTGCTTGAAAAGATTCTATTTTTTTGCCTATTTATTTTGTTTCCCATGCTAGGATATAAGCGCTAAGAAAACTATCCCAACTGCTTAGAAAGTACAATATTTAGTAAAAGCAGTTGAATGAATGAATGAATGCTGATTTATCTGTTAATTTAGCGACTTCTGAATAACCTGTAAAACTTGTAATTTGTGAAACATTTTAATGCCTTTGACCTCTTTATATGGTCAGAACAAGCTGTCAGTGTAAAAGCTTGCATTTTTATAATATTTTAGCTCTGTCTTCCTTCCACACATTAAGTAGACACTTAGGGAGCTCTACATTATCTAGGTCAGGTTTTGTGCAAGGCACTGGGGATACAAAGAAGATGACAACAGGGTCCCTTCCCCCCAAAGCCCAGGAGTCCAACAGCGAAAGCAGTCATGCAAGCAGCTGTCCCAAGATAGTAATGGAGGAAGCAACAGGTGGTGTTGGAGTTAGGTCTTAAAGGATGCTTAGAAGTTAGCCAGCCCAAGAGAGGAGCCTAATATAAAGAGGTAGCAGGATCAGAGGTGAGGAGTGGACTTTAGCCTAATGGGGGGTTGGGAGCAAGTGTACAAGGTCAGATGTGAAAAAGTAGCCCCAGCAACTTTTTAAAAAGAGGCCACAATTCCAGATTTTCTGTGTTTTGTTGTTGTAGAAGGACTAGAGTTGGGAAGTATGGTCTTGATGATAGAAATGAGGCTTGAGATCATATCTTAGAACTTTATACAATATGTAATTTATTCATTACAAATGCCTTCCTGGGGGGGGGGAAGATGATTATACACAAGAACCTCCCCTGATGGGCTATACAGATTGATTTTATCTGTAGAAAGTGACAGTTGAGATAACAGCAGTCAAAACAAGGCTTGGTGCTGACTGTGGAGTGCAAGCTCAAATTGTTGCTGCGGCTTCGTGATCCTCTAGTGGGTTTTCAGAAGCTGGAAACCATATAGGAAGAGATTGCCCCTCTTTTCCCTATGGAACAGCTTGTGGATTAGAACCTTATGCCTTGGGTTGCAGGTCCTTAACTACAAGGACACAAGAGCTCCTTCTGAGTTTAAATCTTAACATCAGTTAAATTAATTTAAAACAAAAAAAGAAAAACAAGCAACCAGGTAAACAAAAAACCATAATGAGCCAAGCACAATGTTAAGTAAGACTTCCTAAGCTTGGTTACAGGAATTTTTAACCTCTAGGATGAGTCATATAGGAGGGAGTTCTGTAATGAGTAGGAAAGGTAGCCTCAGGCCAAGTACCAATTTACATACTCTCTCTTCATTGTTACCAACTCAAGGAGCAGAAGCAATAAAACTAATTTTTATGGAGGAGAAAACAGAGGTTTATAAAGGTAGAGAGCAGTGTGCGTCAAACCCTCTGGTTAGTGAAATTTGGACATAGCTCTCCCCAGATCCAGGGTTCTTGCCTTGGTTCCTCACCTCTGAATAAACTCTCATTTTTAATTGATTCTTCAAGAGCAAAGTCCAGTCTTAAGGTGTTTTCCCCTATGTATTTCCCCCCCTTCAAAAGGATTCTGAGGGTTACAAATAATTCTATTTCTGCATAGTCTTTTCTAGAAAGCTTTGATATGTCTGAGATTTTAACTTTCAAGATAGTATTTGGTGGAGTAGTCTGTATTGCTAACCCCGAGTTAGCAGTGCTAACCCCAAGATTATCTCTTTGCCAGTTAAAAACCACTACTGGCTCATGGGAGAAAGGTGGGCATTCCTGGGTGGTACATACAGCCTCCAAAACCTGTTGGAGGTTCAATAGCGCATGAGTTCTGACTTGATGGCAATGAAGGAGAGTGAGAATGATTTAAAATAATTTGTTAACTGACTAAAATGTGTTATTGGCCTCCTAAATTATTTTAGAGACTGCACTTAAATTTCCTTATTTGTCTCTTTAAAGTTCTGACGCAATGAGTAATGAATATATATAGTTCCCGCACCAATTGTTTTCGTGATCCATATGGTTAAAAAAATTATTTGACTGTAGAACAACTAATTTTTATGTAGATATGTAGTTGTAAGAATACCTGGTCAAGAAAGTGACATTTTAACATAGTTTTCCATAAAAATAATGAAATTGATTTTTGTCATTTTGTGACTAGACCAACTAGTTTCAGTATCAGAGTTTTTATTTTGATGGTTTACTATGGTGAATTTCAAACATACTCCAAAAGAAACAATTATACTAAATAATAGCTTTAATAATTAATAACCCCTGACTATTCTCATTACTTTTTTAATTTTAATAATTCTTTTTTCATTCTCATTACTTTTTTAAATTTTAATAATTCTTTTTTCATTCTCATTACTTTTTAAGCCTTATTCTTTGTACTATCCTTCCCACCAAATATTATTTTGAAACAGATCCTAAAGCAATGATATTTCAGTCATTAATTTTTTTCTCTTGGTGACATTTTATTTCTATAGGAACAAGAAGAAGGAATACATGTAACAATTTTACCCAATGTAATTTGTAATCTGAAACTGAAAATACTACAAATACTTGCAAAAGCTTTATCTTTGTTGCCACCTACTGTTGTCCACTGGGAGCTCTAATGGTCTAGTGGATAAGAAGTTGCATTGCCAACCCCAAGGCAGGCAGTTTGAATCTTCCAGCTACTCTGAGGGAGAAAAATAGCCAGTCTCCCATGTGGTTCACAACTTCTGAAAACCTGCTGCAGGGTTAGCTGTGAGTCAGTTCTGACTCCATAGCAATGAGAAAGAGAGAAATAGTGCCCCATAAAAAGAGAACCTCAGGGGGGAAAGTCACTTGTTTTGCATTGAATGAATTAGGAAAGTAACGCTTATATTCCTGAATCTTTCTCTGAAAAAAAATCACGAGGTAGAATTGACTGTCACATCTTAAAAAAATAACTAAGGAGCTCTGGTGGTAGGGTGGTTAAAGCAGTTTCCTGCTAACCAAAAGGTTGGCAGTTCAAAACTACTAGCCACGTTTTGGGGGAAAGATGTGTCAATCTGTCTTTGTAAAGGTTTACACCCTTGGAAGTCCTAAAGGTCCTTTCTGCTCCATCACGTAGGGTTACCATGGATTGCAATCTACTTGACAGTAGTGGTCTTTGGGTTTTGATATTTGTATTCCTGAATTTGTCTTTGAGGAGAAGTACCAGATAAAATTAATTGTCACATTTTTAAAATAAAATAGTGACTAACAAAGCTTACCACTGCACACCCTCATTTACATAGTCAATGTCAAATCATCAGTTATCTTAAAGTTGCCATGTACTTCTATTTTAGTATCACTAGACATCAAGCTTGGAAAAACAGACAGTGAAAGAGAGGAAAATCCTCAGTTAACTCAGTGTCATGGTCTTGAGCATTGTGGAGATTGTGAGGATGGCACAGGGTGGGGCTAGATTGCAGTCTGTTCATAGTTTCACTTTGAGTTGTAGTTGACAGCACCCAACAGCAACAGCCAATTAAAAACTGAAATTTTCAAGGAAAAAAAAATACTACAAATGAGTGAGTGGAGCCCCAATGAACCCCTTTCCCTATGATTTCTGTTTTTCTGTTCAGCCTACACTGCAGAGAAGTTATGTTTTGGGTTCCCAAATTTTATTCAAGGAATTATACAAATTATCCCAGGCAAAAGAGTTTTAAATATATTCTCCTCCTCTTCTTTCTGTTTACTCTGAAAGTAATGTCATTTGTGGCTTTCTTTGCTGTATGTTTGCAATCACAAACAACAACTCAGGTAGCTGCTTCTTTTTCAGGTGGGTTTTTTTTTGGTCAGATATTTAAAATACATTTTGGGAAAGGGGACCTCAGAGGTTACAGTAGTATCTCTTTTGCTTTTTACAATAGTTTTTTGTAGGGCTTTTTTTTTTTTTTTTTTATAAAAAGAGCAAGGACCACATGGGGACAGCCATATCTAACCTTTACTAACACTGCGATGGGAAACTGCCCTTGTCAACAACATTAAACACACAAAACCAATTCCCATGAGGTCAAACATGTCTTTCACACTCCTTCACCTCTTTCTACTCTACTGGATCTCAAATTCAATATAAAAGCTCACAGACCACACAGAACTATATTAGTGAAGTAAAAATAAATAAATAAATAAAAATCTGTAATTCAGGTTGGCAGCAAGACAGGTCAACTTCTGAAATGTCCTCGCAGGTGCCTCAGTCTTAAACCTCACAGCTTTAGGCCAATGTTAAAGAGCTCTTGGTCCTGACAATTATGGCTCCCCCCTCATTTTGTTGTCCAGCAAATTTGGGCACAGGCTTTCTAATTCTGGTTCCATGGAGTAGCAGTCACAAGGTCCACTCAGTCTCAAATCAGGCCTGTGATTATTTACTGCAGCTGCTGTTGTTCCTGCTCCCTTGGGCTCTGGTCTGACTGGTGCAAGAATCTCTGGCCTTAAAGGACATGGTACATTCTCTTCCTTCTTCTTTGCTGATGATGAGGTTCTCAAACTCTGCTGCTAGATCTGCTAAATTTAATGGGGAGTTTAGCCAGTCCCCTTGCAGATAAGCTAACACACCCTATTCACATATTCCTGCCCATCCACATGATAAAGTCAGTCATTGGCTAATGCAGCCGAACAGTAAACCCTTATCACCACACCCATTTACCAAGATTACTAGTTTTCCTATTAATTTTTATAATTTCTGGAAGAAACTTGAGAATTATGAGCATCACTGATCTCATCATCTACAGAAGGTACAGTCAAAGGTCAACTTTAGAACTCACTTCTTTTTTTCCCTGCCTCTCCTTGGCAGCAGGTTTTTTCATAAGTGCCATGACATCAGATCCAAACCATAATCTTGTTAATTACTTGCTGTGCAGCAGAAAATTGGACAGTGAATAAGAATGACAGAAGAAGAATCAATGCCTTTGAGGTGTGGTGTTAGAGAAGAGTGCTAAATATTCCATGGGCATCCAGGACAAACAAATATGTCTTGGAAAAAGTTAGCGAGGGTGTTCCTTGGAGGCAAGGATGGTTAAACTTTGTCTCATATACTTTGGTTGCGCTCTTAGGAGTGACCAGTCCTTGGAAAAGGGAAGGCCCTCAGTGTGATGAATTGACACAGTGACTAATTGAGGGCTCGAATATGTCAGATATGGTCAGATGGTTCAGGATAGAGAAGGGTGCAGATCTGTTGTTCAAACGGTTGCTGTGAGATGCAGTCGACTGGACAGCACTTAACAGCAACCACAGTGTCAGAGGAGGGAGAAAAGCTATTAACTTTTAAAATTTATCTTGAAAAGATAAAAGAAACCTTGTGGTACAGAATATGAAGCTTTGAGACAATAGTTCAAATCACCGATGTGCAGTGAGGGGGAAAGGTGAGGCAATCTTTCTTTAAAGTTTGCAGTGTTAAAAAAAAAAGTTTGCGGTGTTGGGAATTCTCTAAGGTAGTTCTGCCCTAGCATATAGGGTTGCTGTTAGCTGAAAATGACTCAGCAGCAGTGGACAAGGATGTTTTAATTAGAAAATGGAAGAATTTAATAAAATAACCAATCAGTATTAAAATTTTGAATTGTCTCATGAATTATGTAACCTTTATTTATTTATTTAGCAGAACTCTTAAGGCCCATATATTATGATTGGTCTTTTAAGTTTTCCTTAATTTGTGGATTCCTCCATTTCTTTTTGGTTTTCCTTTTAAAGAGAGATCCTGGTGGTGTAATTGTTGAAGTATTTGGCTGGTAACCAAACGGTTGGTGATTCTGTAAAAAAAAAACTTCTATTTGCTACTATAAAGATTGCAGCCTTTGAAACCCAACAGGCAGTTCATTCTGTCCGTTAAGATCGTTATGCTCCAAAATTGACCTGATAACAGTGTCATTAAGTTACATTCACTCTCATATTCAGCCATCATCTCTATTTAGATTTTTTCCATTACCCTTATCAGAAACTCAGCACCCCTTTTTCACTTGTTTCTGTTAACAATCACTGCTAGTAAAGTTTAGTCTCTGTGTGGTTGCCTATTCTCGATATTTAACACAAATAAGATAATACTATTTGTATAATAGAATAATAGTGTTTGTTCTTTTTTCTTCTCACTTCACTCAACATAATGTTTTCTAAGATTGTCCTTGTTGTAACATATATCAGTACATTTTTCTTTCTGACTGACAGGTACTCCAGTATGTGAATATACAATCTTACACTTACTTTTTAATGAACACTTTAAGTTGTTCCCACATTTTGGTTATTGTTAATAATATTATAATGAACGTAAGTGTTCATGTGTTTGATAATCAAGAGCAGAATTGCTGGGTGATACGGTGGTGTAGTATGTTACTTGTTAGGCTGCCAACTGAAGGGTCAGCAGTTCAAGTCCACCAGTCACTCCATGACAGTCTCCTCCCATACAGATTTTTAACATTGGAAACTGATGGAGGATTGTCTTGGGTCACAGTTGACTCTCCAGCAGTGGGTTTGGTTTTGATTTTAAGTATGACAATTCTATTCCTTTAAATTTACTTCTCTTCAAATTGGGTTGGTTGTTATATAGCCTTGCCATAGCCGAGAATTTACCAGTGAGATCTCCAAAGTGTAATTTAGTATGTTTCTCTGTGTTTTCTGATAGTAGTTGGATCTAGACAAGGCTAGGTCAGGTTCAGGATACATTCCTTTGGTGAGATCCCTTCCTTGGGGCTAGTATGCTCTACCCACTAGGTGTATAAGACAACATGGCTAAACTATTGATGCTTAATGTTTAGATCTATTCATTATTTAAGAAGGGAGTTCTCATGGTACAGTCTATAGGATTGCTTCAAACTCAAAAGTGTCACCTTTCTTATGAATCAGATCCACCTGCAGCTCCATGGGAGAAAGATGGGCAGTGTCTTCCTATGCAACTTATTGTTGTTATGTGCCATTGATCCAACTTATAGTGACCCTATGCACAATAGCTCAGAAACATGCCCTATCCTGAGCCAATCTCACTGTCTCTGACATACCGGCTACTATTGCAACAGGTACTGTGTAAATCCATCTCATTCAGGGTCTTCCTCTCCTGCACTATCCCTCCACCCTTCAAGCATGATGTCCTTCTCCAAGGATGAGTCTCTCCAGGCAACATGCCCAAAGTATGTGAGATGGAGCTTCAAAATCTATGCCTCCAAGGAGCAACGTAGTTTTACCCTCTTGAAGATAGACCTTCTCTTGGCAGTCAATCCATGATATGTTCAGCACTCTTCTCTAGCACCACAGTTCAAAGGCATTGATTCTTCTTCTGTCTTCCTTATTCATTGTCCGGCTCTCTGATGCATAGCAAGTAATTGCAAACACTATGGCCTGTATCAGGCACACCTTAGTCTCCAGACTGACTTCCTTGCTCTTCAGCACTCTAGAGAGATTCTTGACAG